GATGTTCTTAACTTCTGCGGCGATACCCTGAATACCCTTAGATATTGCAAAAGGGTTCAACTTAAACGGTGTCTTGTCAACAGTTTCAATCACCTAAAAACATGGCCAAAAGTCAATTGATTAGGATGGTCTGAGGTCATCATCATTAGGATCAGTTTCAAGAGGACGTTTGGTTTTCTTTGTTGGTGTTTCATAAGCCATGGTTAGTGTTTAGATTTCATCATCCGGGCTCCCCACCCACCACGGAGTATCACAAGGACAATGCTTAAAGCAAGCGGGTCTCCAGCTTGCAGCACCGAGGATACCCGGATGATATACTCCAGCAGAAAATTTAAAAGATTAATGATTCCACCAGATTGGCCCATGAGCCACCGCCTTCTGGGCATACGACTCTAGGCAAAAATATACATGAAATTGTGTAGTTGAAGGACTGAGTTGAAAAAATGGCCAAGACTTAGAAATATATCTAATAATTCTCAAAAGTTTGTGCAACATTATACAGTTGTAACACAGGGCTTGGCGTGACCAGCCGATTGATAAACCGAGCCAGTTCTACCACCCGTCTAGGTGAAGTCAGGGCCGAAGTGGTGTGTTTGGCAAAAGGAACACGGTTCCAGGCTCCTAGTGCCCTCAACCACCAGACTCCCTTCCTCCACCGACACAGGGGCGCAACCCACGGCAAACGGGTTGGTGGACCAAATATGCCCCGGGTCCACAACGGGGGGTCGAAGAGCTCAGCACCCAGCACCCAGCACCAGGAGGTGGCTCTTCATGGGTGCCAATAAAATAAGTTCTCATCTAATTATTGCATTTTGAAAAGAATTACATTTGTTAAAGGTCACATAAACCCTAGGGGGTACAAATACATAAATCACTAACTGGCATCGTTATAAATGAAACCCCGTTATTAAAATTACTCATTTCGACCTTTAATTGACTTAAATCGACCTTTTTGACAACAGTGCACAATTCTCACCCGCGAACGAAATTTCAACCAATCAGAGCGGCGCGCCTCTGTGACGTCATATGAGGAATAGCTTTGAGAGCCGATGCAGAATTCATCTACATTTTAGGGGTTAAATTATCGTGTTTACAGGTTTGTATAAACCTGAAATCGTGACAATTGTTGTGGAAAATGAAAGCTATATGTTCTCACAATCTACTGTCATTTAATTTTGTCTCCTGCTTTGCCTAGTTTCCGAGTTACAACTTGTTTCCATAGACGATTCTGTCAAAATCGATTGGTGTCGTTAGGCCCTATTTGTATAATGACTGATCCAAATTGATCCCATTTCTGTGTTGTTTTACCTCGATATTTAATCATGTCATGTAAAAATCTGTTTGTATTCTCAAAACAGTGTCGTCCCATAAGTTTTCACATGCAATACAGCAATTAATACTCCCTCGTTGTAACCCGTGTTAAGTGGTATAAACCTCAACATGTTATTTGTCATCATTCACTTGATGGTCAGTTAATGAATTTATAACAGGTATAATTAGTGGTAAGACACTTAGATTACCCGACAAAGGTTCCCATTGGGCATTTCTTGTGTCTGGAGTAAATATTCAACATTATAAACATCGATCAAAGGATTAATCGATAACACGCTGATTGATTAATTACTTTTATCTTACACAGCGGAATTGTCAAAAGGTAGTGTATGTAGATTTACTAATCTATACTGAATACACTCTGTCGTGTCGGTGTCTGCGTAAAAACAACGTCCTTCTTTCAAAGGATTAACCGGCAATACATTGATTGATTGCCCATTATTGGCTAACTAAATTACTGTTTTTAAAGAAAGGCGGACATTATGCAATTAGTTGCCAGGTGTGCTATCTTGGGTGACCAATGAGACTATACACCAATACCTGAAAAGATTTATCACTTTTTCGTATATTAAACTGTTAAAAGACACATCATTTGGAACAGTTTTGTGGATATTGATGGATACATTCCTCGAACAAGGTAATGACCTGATATTGTTCCTATAACTTTAATCTGGTTTAATTTTAATATTTGCATTTTGTTTTTATTCATTTGTCGTAGCATTCAACAGAATCATTGTTTTCGCCGTGAAGTGTAATGAGACAGACAACATGCACTAGAGTGTGTGTGCGAATTATGATTCACATTGGCAAACTATAAAATGTCTAGATATTACAGTTCTGTTATAAATTCACTATAAGTATCAGCAGATCGTCTGCTTTTTATTTAGTTTCAAAATGCATACAAGTGTGATAATAAACTAATTAGGATTATAAGACCAAATATAAAGACGCACATTGACTAGTATCTACATACTGGTGAGTGGACATTAACCATGGGAATGTAGCAAGAAATTTATCGCGCAGTATTGTGACTTCGACCCCCACCTCGCTTCCGTGGAAGAAATCGTTATGTTATAAGTTGTGTCATGCAACATCCGTTTGGTTATGATTCCAATACATATTTAACATCGAGTAGAAAGTAGTCTTGATTTTCTAACTTGATGAAAACAAACTAAAATCTCATTAATTCTAACAGATTTTTTTATTTTTAAAAATGGCGGCGCCCTTTCGGGAACATCCGCCAGTCTGAGGATAAATGGTATTTAGGTTTGTTTTCACCGAGTTACAAAATCAAAACTACTTTTCTACTGGTAGTAAAATATGTATTTTATTGATGGCCAATAGGATTTTGCATGACATAGCGTATATCATAACAATTTCTCTCGTGGCAGCGAGGTGGGTGTCAATATAATACTACTTACAATATTATTGTTACTTCGACCACAACCTCACTTCCGAGGAAGAAATCGTTATGTTACAAGTTGTGTCATAGAAAATCTTTATGGTCATCAATCATATGCATATTTTACTACAACTAGTAAGTAGTTTTGATTCTTTAACTTCCGTGAAGCGATCTGAACACAAGTAAGATATCGTTTCAGGCTTCCACAACGCTCGCTTCGCACTCACAAACATAACCCATTTAGCACGAACTGCGGGGTCCTGTGGAAATCTGTGCATGGGGACACCATCGCCCGACCCCTAGGAGCAATTGACGACAAAGCAACGATTCGGCATGTCGTCGTTGATGTCGAGAAATCATCAAAATGATGAGCGTGCTACACATTTTTCTATACAACTAACTGAAAATCGTTCCTCATATGACGTCACTGCAGTGCTCTGGCGACAGAGTTACGTAACCTGTCTGTGGTTTCGTTGGCGGGCGAGAGGGAAGCAGGCGACTTTTTGGCCACTTTTAATCGCTCGGTATTAATTAACCACAAGTTTTTAAAGAATAAATTTGGTGTTCCGCATAAGACTAACCAAAAATCTTTCATATGTAATGGTTAAAAGAGTAACAAAAAACAAAGTTTAGTGGTTCTTTAAATGATTTTGTTATTAGATACATATTTTATTATTGGTAATTTAGATTAGTAACTGAGATTGTTAGTGGCTGTACGCTCAAAAGGGGTTGAAGTAGCGTAAAATTATTGTCCTCCTGAGTGGGTACGTAAGTCCCGAAACATTCAAAGGAAATTAAAATTTAACAGCTGTTTTAAATGTAGTATTTTTGTCATTTTAATTTTGGCTAAATTTGACAGCGGCTAAAGGGATGACATAAATCAGTCTCACCAGAACATGGCATCGGTCAAATGGAATTCCCTCCCTGATGAACTTAAGCTGTCTCCAACCCTTGAAAACTTTAGTGTCATCTCAAAACCTTTCTCTACAAAAATTTCTATGGACTTCAATAATGCCTCATTGATTGTTATCGCTATGAGCATACCTGGTGTGGAGTTTGGCGCTATATAAATGGACACATTATTATTAAATCCAGCAGGTCCTGCAGGTTAAATTAGGGTCCATGCAGGTAGAAAAAGTACTGTAAGTCCCCATGGTTCCTAGTATGGTGATCTACCTTCAGTTGTTGGCGATCTATAGCCAGTTTTTATATTGTATTGTCCAAACACAATGTAGTGCTTTTACTTTCCACACTAGTTTTAATTGTAATTGTGATATTCTAGTTGTTTTACTGTCCTTTGAAGACAGGTTTTCATATTATACACACATTACATTTCAATGTCAAATATGTTCTAGTCACGACATGGCTGAAATGTGACGTTAAATATTAAATCACTCACTCATCATTCACTATCGAAACCTGCAGCTGTATTTGTCGTTGGGTATGAAACTGAAGAAAATGCATAAACTTCTTATGTTCCATCAAAAGGACATAGCGGAAAAATAGACATGCTCCATCAGAGCAATACATATGCAGCCCAGCCATTTGTCATCTTGATTTCAGACCTGTGTTTTGCGATGAAACAGAAAACGCTCTTTTGACGGCAAACGTCATGTTACTCTTGCTCATATCTTGTGTGATAAGAGCTGATGCTCGGCATTGCTCAAGGTTTGAATTTTTTGGGTGAGACATATTGAAGTTGATTCACTGCTCAAATAAATACCTTATGAGTTCACGTCATTATTAATGTGAAACCGCCACGCAACATTCGAGTTTATGAGAACCCCGTTGATGTACTCAGAAATCCGTAGTTTCTTTTCTGACTTTGTCAAATTAAGATGACCTATTTCAACTGGATAGAGCTAAGTACAGAATTCTACGAACATTTGGTTCAAATTCTCCTGCAGAGATGTTTGAAAATTGTGTGTGGAAAGGCAGAATATATTTACAGGAGAATTGCTCAACGCCTGATGTACCGCTTATTTACGCTAATCAAAACTATTCATTCTGGATAACGCCGAAGTGCACGTTGAAAAAACCTACAGTAAGTCAATGCTGGAACGAATTAAATTTACGTTTTGTGGTGTTTTGTATTTACAAAGTGACTGGATACGATATATCTACATTCGAGATGATGAATCTCGTCATAGATGGAAGTCTAAAAATGGAATTCTACAATAGACAGTGCTACGCCAAATATGTTTATGAATGTGGATAGGTTTTTACGCATTTATACATTACGTGATACAAAACAAGTACATTTTACCGTATATACTGTATTCTTCCTATTTCATTGATGCTACGGTAACTGGTATCCGATTGTCCTCTCTCAAAGCTTCCAGAAGGAGAAATTTGTAAGATTGGTCTTTGTCGCCGTAAATTGTCATGTAGACGGTGGCATCAGTACCTCCGTAGTCCTTTCCACTTGTGCCTATTACAATCTTCAAATCTAAAAAAAACATGGCCTTGTTTAGTCTTTACAAAAAAATTCATTGCCAAGTAATATGGCAACACTACCTCACTATATATAAATCTTCATAAATCTAGAATTTACTGGTTCGCGTTATTTAGGTTTCACAGAGTTTATACTTGCAATGGGCTTCAAAAGACTTCTCTCGCAAAACGGGAGAAAAGTAGTTATCAAAATCCAGTGTTTGGCTTTGTTCAAATAGAACAATTTTGTGAAAAAGATAATTCTTTGATACATATTAGCTATTAAAATAACCCCTGAAGATCCGGGCTTGAAATGGTCAATAAATTCTTGTAACAGGCGACTAACGCGTGGCTCGCTGACTTGGTTGACACATGGCATCGTATCCCAATTGCGTAGATCGATGATCATGCTGTTGATGACTGGACTGTCTGGTCCAAACTCTATTATGTACAGACCGCCGCCTTATAGCTGGAATAAGGCTGAGTGTGCCCTTAAAAACTATCAACCAACCAAGTAATGAAAGATCATGAGGAAGTTCAGGTTAACATATCCCACCTCGACTGGCCGAACGTCGGTGTCGTCCAAGGCCAGAATGCTGACTGTGTGAAAATTCCCTTGAGCAGTGGAAATGTGAATCCTGACCATTTACATTGAGAAATTCTGGGATCCAGTCATGCTCAAGTGCTCTGTCATCCAAAGGAAACTGTAAATGTTAAGATATGTATGGGAAATAACAATAGACTCTGGGTATTATCGTATTATCAAGTTTTAATTGCCATACACGGAATGACGTATGATCTTCCCCTATAAATATGTTCATATGTACGCCTTACCTCGAGGAAGACATGGTTTATATCTCCAAGATACCTCTCGTTGTAGATTACCGTGCCGTTATGAAGTAAGTTCAGATATGTTGATGTTTGGTCTATCGTGCAACCATCTCTACTGTGGACGTGATGTGAGCACAATCTGATGACTATCTGTAAAAAGAACAGGCAATAATGATAGTTTAAGACAGGTCAAGGGGTTATCTTAAACCAGGCTGTCAATATACGTAAGGTAGATGAACTAGTGCTCAAAAGAAACTATACACCGCAAAATGTTACATAAAATTCAAAAAATAAAAATGAAGTGATAAAACCATACCCAGCCATGTCACACACGTAAAGACCCATCCTTTCCGAGAACAAACAGCGAAATAAGTCAACAAATATCCTAAACGTCGCACAAAATCCAAAATGACTTTTTCTGATGTAACATGAAATGCACGAGCATACTGGAGGTATAAAACAGCTGACGCGACACGTGAGCAACACAGTAGTTAAAAATGTATGTAAAAAACACAAAAAATATGCCATGTTTGTGGAAAATCGAAAGAGAGAGCTGTCAGAATGGCCCAACAAGGAGCTAACCACAACGTCAGTGCCAGAACCTTCGGCTGCACCCGAGCAACTACCATCACACTGATGCAACGACTAAGACAAACAGGCAATACGTCAGACATGCCTAGGAGTGGTCGACCACGAGTGACAATGCCCGGTGATGATCGCCACATCCGGATAATTCATCTGAGAAATCGTTTTGGTAACAGCGACGGCATGAGGACACCGTATCAGTCGAGTTTGACGTTGGCAGATGCGTGATTGACGACGTGTGATGTTCAAAGACGAGAATAGGGTTTGTCTGTACAGTAATATCGACCGGGCTCGGGTTTACATACGAATAGGTAAACGTTTAGCGCCGAAAATGCTCGGAAGTTTTGCGACCAGTTGTGTTGCCATTTATCCAGCACCAACACGATCACGAAGGCATCATGAAGCAAGACTGGCAAACGACTGTTATGTTCTGTACGTGCTGATGTTCTTGGATGACAAACACAGTGGCATTAAACACAGGTTTTTAATCGGCCATTACTAAGGGAGGTAAGTACATACTTCCTGGATCCAAGGGAGATAACTAGCTACTTTCTGTTGGCTTGTGTCACTCAAGGCTTCAGGAGTTGTCTCCCATATGTCACTGGGGCCATAACATTACATCCCCTTTTTTTTGAACAAAATGTTCGTGTCATAACTAGGATATGGATGCTATACTATCAGAATGTTATAGGAGAAGACATCTTGTATATAATGTCAACACTGATACACGTGGGCGTTCACACGTATTGTTACTTGGCACTGGCGGACCAGATGTCTTGGGCACAGTTCAGAAACAAGATCACTACAACTGGTCTGTTAATATTTTCTGGTAACGATAAAGCACGAACTGATAACATGTAAATTAAACAACACTAACTGAGTAACTAAGAACTATCAACTAGGGTAACTTTGCAGTCTATAGGTTGGACTTTTGAGGAGCTCTAACGACTCTTCCAGATCTGGTAACAGTCATTGGTTTGGACGGTGTTGGTTTGGACAATGTTGATGCTGTCGCCTTCTGGAGTGGCACTGATGTTAAGTCCGTTGGTGTATCATCGGCATTGCTGCTGGGGTTTCTCATTGGTGTGTGTCTTAGGTGGCGCTTGTTGCGTTGATATTGTGCACCATCTGCTGTCTGCACTTGGTATGAGCGATTTGGATCTACTCTGGTGATCTGGGCTGGCTTCCAGGTTTTGTCAGCGGTCTGCAAATAGATACTGTCATTCATTTGAAGCGGTGGCAGATTCCTGGCGGCTCGGTCATAGAACAGTTTCTGATGGGACTGAACTTGTTCGCGTCTTGCACACACATCGGCAGGTTCGATAACTTTGTGCTGAAGTTGTTTGCCAGTGGTGGGAAGCACTGACCGCAGACGTCGGCTCATCAGAAGTTGCGCGGGCGAAGCCAAGTTGTCAACTGGTGTTGTCCGATATTCTAGCAGTGCAAGGAGTGGATCAATGCCATCCTTGTATGTTTTGTCCAGAATGTTCTTCGATATTTGCACACACTTTTCAGCTAGTCCATTGGACTGAGGATATCTGGGGCTTGATGTAATATGTTTGAAGTCCCATCTGCTGGCGAAGTCTGCAAATTCAGCTGATGCAAACTGTGGACCGTTGTCACTCATCAGGATTTCAGGCATCCGATGACGTGCAAAGTTGACGGATAACTTGCGGATCACTGCTGATGAAGACAGGCTTCTGAGCTGGTCTATTTTGAAGAAACGACTGTAGTAGTCAGCCAGAACGATGTACTCTTTGTTGTTCCAAGTGAACAGGTCTGCACACACTTTCTGCCAGGGACGGCATAGTATTTCATGTGGCTGTAGTGGTTCCTTGCTGTTTGATCTCTGTTTCTCACAGCATACTGTACAATTGGCAACTGCAGCTTCAATCTCTGTGTTCATGCCGGGCCAGAATAGAATGTCACGGGCTCGTTCTTTGCACTTCTCCATTCCGAAGTGACTGGAGTGGATCTTCTGGAGGAGCTCGGATCTCTGGCCTTTAGGAATGATGATCTTTTCCCCTTTGAATATGAGACCATCCATGACGGTAAGTTGGTCCCGATGATTCCAGTATTCGATGATGCTTTCTGGACATTCGCTTCTGGAATCTGGCCAACCATTGAGGATGGTTGTCCTCAGTTGTTGCATCTGAACATCATTGTTAATGGCGTCTCGTAGTTGTGACATCTTGTGGTCACTCACAGGGAGATTTGCGAGTACCATATGAACTTGCGCTTCCATTTCTTCTGACATCCCATCATCTTTTGTAGTCAGAAACTTGCGCGAGAGCGTGTCAGCAACTGGTATGTCTTTTCCTGCAACATGGACGATACGTAGATCATACTTCTGTAATTGCAGTAGCATACGCTGGAGGCGTGCAGGTGCTGCCGTCAAAGGTTTCTTCATGATACTTTCAAGCGGTCTCAACGGTCACGGTGTGGCCATAGATGCACTGATGATACCGCTTGCAACCAAACAGGATTGCATAAAGTTCCTTCTCAATTTGAGCATAGTTCTGCTCGCTGGGGGTCAAAGCCTTTGAAGCATATGCCACTGGCTTCTTGTCTTGGAGCAAGGTGGCACCTAATCCATTCTTCGAGGCATCTACTTGTAGAGTAATGGGCTTTTTCGGATCAAAGAAGGCGAGGACGGGCTCACTTGTGATTAGTAACTTGACCTTCTCAAGGGCGTCGTTTTGGCGTTTGTCCCAGTGGAACTCTACGTCCTGCTTCAACAGTTCCCTCATTGAGCTGGTCACTTCTGAAAGGGAAGGTGCGAACTTGGCGAGGTAGGTGATCATGCCAAGCATTGTGTCCAACTCTTGTTTATCTTTGGGAGGTGACATTTGCTTGATGGCTTCAACTTTTGTGGGGTCTGGTTTTGTGCCCTCTGCTGTGATGAGATGACCAAAGTAACTGACCTCAGTGACGCCGATGGATAACTTGTCAGGGTTGAGGTGGACGTTCTTTTGTCGACAACGACTTAGTACAGCTTATAGATTGGCATCATGTTCATTCCTGATCCTTCCATGAACCAGGATATCATCAACTATTGCAACTGTTCCTGTGAGGTCTCCAAATGTTTCATCTATCTTACGCTGAAATTCATCCTGGGCTGAGACAAGTCCAAATGGCATACGCATGAATCTGTATCTGCCATATATTGAGTTGAACGTTGTCAAGTATGATGATTTCTCAGAGAGTTTGATATTCCAGTACCCATATCTTGCATCCAGTTTACTGAAGTATTTGGATCCTGTCAGTTTGGTGGAGCATCTTCAAATTAAGCGTCGGCATGTGATAGGTGTGATCGCCTGATTGCGTTGTTGAGATCAAGGGGTCCAGACATATTCGAGCTTCCAGCTGTGATGTTTCTCAACGACAACCAGGGAGTTGACCCAGTCTGTAGGCTCGGTAACTTTGGAGATTATGCCCATCTTCTCCATCTTGTCGAGCTCATCTTTCAGCCGGTCTCTGATTGCGATTGGGGACGCGTCTTGGTGGATGCACGGAAGGGGTAGCATCTGGCTTAAGATGTATCGAGCATTCACCTTCGAATTCTCCCACACCTGTGAAGACATCCTTGAAGTCAGATAGCACTGATTCTTTTGTCATGGGGTTAGGAGATTCTGCCTTCGGCTTGGCTTCCAGGGCAAGGACAAGCTTGATGAGTTGCAGTGACAAGGATGTTGGAAGGCCTATTACTGGAGGTGAGTTGGCTTCCACAACATAAAAACCTTTGGTTGCTGACCGTTCCTTGTACTGACACTGAAGTTGAATACGCCCAAGGACTTTGAGAACATGTCCTGAGTAGTTGGTGAGACGCTGATCAGCTTCTTTGAGTGGGTGCTGGACGGGCATCTTGTCGTATTCCTTCTTGGGAATGACATTGACTTGTGCTCCTGTGTCGATCTTGAAGCTGATTGTGGGGTCTCCATCCACACTGATATCGGCAAAGGCTTGGTTGGGGAACTCATTAGAGTCCGAAGCATAATCAATAGTGTGGATCTTCTTCTTGCCCCTTGTGTTGTTTATTGGTCTCTGCGTCTGTGTACTGCTGCGGCAGACTTTGGAAAAATGGTTCCACTTTTTGCACTTGTGGCACTGTGTTCCTTTGGCAGGGCACTTCTTCTTGTTGTGCTCATGATGCCCCCCACAATTTCGGTATGGGTAGGATCTTGTTCTGTGTTTGTTGATAGAATCAACGTTCTCAGCACTGTGCGAGGCAGACATCAGTTTCAGGTGAGACTGAGTTATTTCGTAAGATCTTGTGATCTCGATGGCCTGCTGCATTGTCAGTGAGTCGTCTTGTGTGAGTAATTTCTCGCAGATTGTTTTTGAAATAATGCCGCAAATGATTCTATCGCGTACCCATTTCTTCAGGCTTGTCATATGCACAGTCTTTAACGAGGAGTTGTAGGTGTGTTACGAACTCTTCAATTGACTCTCCCTCTTTTTGCGAACGTGTATGAAACTTGTAACGTGCGAAGATAATGCTTGTTTCCGGTGCTACATATTGTCCAAATTTGTCCAAATGGCTTTGGAGGCTTTTTTCTTCAGTT